TTATTTTATTAAAATAAATCATCATATTGGAAAAATATTATTCACATATTTGAAAAGTTATTGATAACTTTTCTAAACAAAAGAAAATTATAGATTAATTTCGATAATTGCTTCCCTATAATTTTAACAATCTATCTATGCACAGTTTTTTCTCAAATATGATTGATTTATTTTTTAAAATATGTTTTTAAGCTGCATTATAGCATTTTTCTATGAAAGGCACGCCAAAAATATGAAAGCGACCATGTACGCATTTTTACAAGATTGCAAAAATAATCATAGTTAAATCATTACCAAATGCTACAATCATATAATTTTCATACAACGTTGCTGTATGAAATGCCAAAGGGGGAGGGGAATCTCCGTAGGTTTGGGGAGATGAATATTGAAAGGGTTCGGATTTAACATCTAACAATAGAAAAATTGGATGTGGTGTAGTGTGGTTATATCCATAACTTTGTGAGCCTCCTAAGAAAACTATAGTGTGATTATCTGGTGCTTTAAAATAAAGTATGCACATAAACGTTAATTATAATTATTTAGAAATTATGAATATAAAAATATGTTCATTTACCTAGGAGAGCTGTGTGTCCAAGACGAGGATCAATGTCGTTTCCCAAAGCAGACTAGAGTAAATAAATAATTTACTTATTTATTAAAAGCCTCAAGTCAAAAGAATTTGTATAAAGATATTATATATACCTTCTGAGACCAGGTTGAATCAAGAGTATCAAAAATATATATCTAAATTAATGATACAGTACCAGATTTTTATATTGTGATGACAAAAGTGGTTTAAATATAATTCAACATAGAATGCATGATAATGGTATAAATATTTTGCAATTTCATAATTTAATGACAAAAGTCGATTCGTCTCATTGTAAAGAATTGAATTTCTAGTTTAAAATTAATTCAGTGATTACTCACATCATTCATACTTATACGATTTGCGTCTTCACCGGGGGCAGACTGAGTAACACCACCTATATAAATAATTTTTCCATCGGGCATGAGAGTGGCAGATGCATGACTCCTTTTAGATGGGTGATCAGTTAGATTTGACCATTTCAATAATAAGGTGTCAAAGGTGAAAAAATCGTCAAATATCGTAAACACATCTGAACCAGTGTCCACCTCCACCCTTCCACCATATATATAAATTACACCATTTTTATCAATAACTGTTGCAGTGGATCTACGCCTTGGAAGTGGTGGTCCGTATGTTCCTGGCCCACTAGTGTCCCAGTGTTGTGAATTTATATTATATATCCAAAGACTAGAATTTGTTGTGTTATAACCAAATGTTTCCATATTTTGCTGCACCCCACCAATAAGAAATATACGTATACCTCTATTTCCTAATACCGTTGTTCCCTTTTCTGAGCCAAATGGCATGCGAGAAGTAGCAGAAAGATCTGTGAATGGAGGTAAATCAACAGAAAATGATGAAGAAAGATCTAAATAGAACACTTCATCTGATAGATTAAATTGATGGGTTTGATTCCATACAGATGAGGTCATAGGTATAGGCCGTGAACCACCAAAGAAATAAATTCTATCATTAGCTAATGTTACCATATGACCTCCTCGTGGTTCAGGTTTAAATGAATGAACATTGAGAAATAAAACAAAAATTATGCCTAACAAAGAAAATATAACTTGGAAATTCGTAGTCAACATATTTAAAAATTGATTGTAGTTGCAATTATATAAATCGAGAATTAGTATTCAATAACTATTGAGATACATCTAATTTAAATTTTTTTGATACGGTGCCACAGTATAATAATATTTCAGAAAAAGTAAGTATTTAAAATGTATCACGGTTAAACTTTTATTACAAGAAATCTTATATTTGTTTATATATGTTTTTGATAAAGGTAATTGGTAATAAACATTGTAATAATCTATTTAAAATAAATTATCCCACCTCTTAACTCCGGAGTAACGTCACGATTACACTTTTGCATATAAAAGGTATATTATAATAAACTCTAAGCGCATGTTCCTTAAATAGAAGTTTTACAAATTTCTTTAAAATTATTAATGTTTATCTTAGTTTTATAAATCTGCAAATTGGATATTGTACCCGGGGAGACACTATTATTATATATAATAATTACCCGAATAACCGGCTAGAGATTTCTTGACGAGTACAATCTCTATTACAAATATTTTTGTTCTGTTGGTGCAAGGCTATATTAAATGTTTTTTTTTTTTTTTGTTATATATACACATAATCGCGTTGCAGGGTAGGAAATGGATTTGACATGTCAGCGTTAAGTCTCATAATCCAATAATAACAGGTTTCATGAGTGAAAGTAATCTACAAGAATTGATCCAAAAAGATAATAATTTATATTGTCAAATTTCCTAGAAGCAGGAATTAACTCCAGAATATACGATGTCTTCACAGGAAAATTATCCTGAGATTGTATAGATTTATTAACATAGGTTAAATTTGTTAGCGATCTAATCCAAAAGAATGTTTTTTTTTTCTTTTAAATACATTAAACTCTGCAAAATAATAATAAAAAAGTTTGATCATTAGATAGCCAACAAATTTAAATATATATGTCTTGGAGAGTTATTTTCCTAACAAAGAATGCATTTAACCTAAT